AAGGAGAAGTGACTTGAGGTAGCCACAGTGTATAGTTAGGAGAGGTGACCTTCAGTAATCGCAGTGCATAGTAAGGAGAGGTGACCTTAAATAGCCCCAGTTTATAGTTAGGAGAAGGGACTTGAGGTAGCCACAGTGTATAGTAAAGAGAGGTGACCTGAGTTAGCCACAGTGTATAGTTAGGAGAAGTGACTTGAGGTAGCCACAGTGTATAGTTAGGAGAGGTGACCTTAAGTAGCCGCAGTGTATAGTAAGGAGAGGTGACCTTAAATAGCCCCAGTTTATAGTTAGGAGAGGTGACCTTAAGTAGCCGCTGTGGAAAGTAAGGAGAAGTTACTTGAGGTAGCCACGGTGTATAGTAAGGAGTTGTGACCCTAAGTACCCACAGTGTATAGTTAGGAGAAGTGACCTTAAGTAGCCTCAGTGTATAGTTAGGAGAAGGGACCTGAGGTAGCTACAGTGTATAGTAAGGAAAGGTGACCTTAAATAGCCGCCGTGTATAGTTAGGAGAAGTGACCTTAAGTAGCCTCAGTGTATAGTTAGGAGAAGTGAATTGAGGTAGCCACAGTGTATAGTAAGGAGAGGTGACCTTAAGTATCCGCAGTGTATAGTAAGGAGAGGTGACTTGAGGTAGCCACAGTGTATAGTAAGGAGAGGTGACCTTAAGTAGCCGCAGTGCATAGTAAGGAGAGGTGACCTTAAGTACCCGTAGTGTATAGTTAGGAGAGGTGACCTGAGGTAGACACAGTGTATAATAAGGAGAGGTGACCTTAAGTTCCCGCAGTGTATAGTTAGGAGAGGTGACCTGAGGTAGACACAGTGTATAATAAGGAGAGGTGACCTTAAGTACCCGCAGTGTATAGTAAGGAGAGGTGACCTGAGGTAGACACAGTGTATAATAAGGAGAGGTGACCTTAAGTATTCGCAGTGTATAGTAAGGAGAGTTTTCCTGAGGTACCACGGTATTTAGTTGGGTGAGGTGACCTGTGCTATCCACAGTATACAAAGGGGAGAGGTGATCTGTGATATCCACAGTATACAAAGGGGAAAGGTGACCTGTGCTATCCACAGTATACAAAGGTGAGAGGTGCCCTGTGATATCCACAATATACAAAGGGGAGGGGTGACCTGTAATATCCACAGTATACAAAGGGGAGAGGTGACCTGGGATATCCACAGTATACAAAGGTGAGAGGTGCCCTGTGATATCCACAGTATACAAAGCTGAGAGGTGACCTGTGATATCCACAATAAACAAAGGGGAGGGGTGACCTGTGATATCCACAGTATACAAAGGTGAGGGGTGACCTGTGATATCCACAATATACAAAGGTGAGAGGTGACCTGTGATAGCCACAATATACAAAGGGGAGAGGTAACCAGTGATATCCATAGTATACAAAGGGGAGAGGTGACCTGTGATACCCACAGTATACACAGGGAAGAGGTGACCTGTGATATCCACAGTATCCAAAGGGAAGAGGTGACCTGTGATACCCACAGTAAACAAAGGGGAGAGGAGACCTGTGATATCCACAGTATACAAAGGGAAGAGGTGACCTGTGCTACCCACAGTAAACAAAGGGGAGAGGTGACCTGTGATATCCACAATATACAAAGGTGAGAGGTGACCTGTGACATCCACAGTATACAAAGGGGAGAGGTGACCTGTGACATCCACAGTATACAAAGGGGAGAGGTGACCTGTGACATCCACAGTATACAAAGGGGAGAGGTGACCTGTGACATCCACAGTATACAAAGGGGAGAGGTGACCTGTGATACCCACAGTATACAAAGGGGAGAGGTGACCTGTGATACCCACAGTATACAAAGGGGAGAGGTGACCTGGGATATCCACAGTATACAAAGGTGAGAGGTGCCCTGTGATATCCACAGTATACAAAGGGAAGAGGTGACCTGTGATACCCACAGTATACAAAGGGGAGAGGTGATCTGTGATATCCACAGTATACAAAGGTGAGAGGTGACCTGTGATATCCACAATATACAAAGGGGAGAGGTAACCTGTGATATCCACAGTATACAAAGGGGAGAGGTGACCTGTGATATCCACAGTATACAAAGGTGAGAGGTGACCTGTGATATCCACAATATACAAAGGGGAGGGGTGACCTGTGATATCCACAGTATACAAAGGGGAGAGGTAACCTGTGATATCCACAGTATACAAAGGGGAAAGGTGACCTTAAGTAGCCGCAGTGTATAGTTAGGAGAAGTGACTTGAGGTAGCCACAGTGTATAGTAAGGAGAGGTGGTTTGAGGTAGTCACAGTGTATAATAAGGAGAGGTGACCTTAAGTATTCGCAGTGTATAGTAAGGAGAGTTTTCCTGAGGTACCACGGTATTCAGTTGGGTGAGGTGACCTGTGCTATCCACAGTATACAAAGGGGAGAGGTGACCTGTGATATCCACAGTATACAAAGGGGAAAGGGGACCTTAAGTAGCCGCAGTGTATAGTTAGGAGAAGTGACTTGAGGTAGCCACAGTGTATAGTAAGGAGAGGGGGTTTGAGGTAGTCACAGTGTATAATAAGGAGAGGTGACCTAAAGTATTCGCAGTGTATAGTAAGGAGAGTTTTCCTGAGGTACCACGGTATTCAGTTGGGTGAGGTGACCTGTGATATCCACAGTATACAAAGGGAAGAGGTGACCTGTGATACCCACAGTATACCAAGGGGAGAGGTGACCTATGATATCAACAGTATACCAAGGAGAGAGGTGTCCTGTGATATCCACAGTATACAAAGGGGAAAGGTGACCTGTGATATCCACAGTATACAAAGGGGAAAGGTGACCTGAAGTAGCCGCAGTGTATAGTTAGGAGAAGTGACTTGAGGTAGCCACAGTGTATAGTAAGGAGAGGTGGATTGAGGTAGTCACAGTGTATAGTAAGGAGAGTTGACCTGTGATATCCACAGAATACCAAGGGGAGAGGTGACCTGTGATATCAACAGTATACCATACAAAGGGGAGAGGTGACCTGTGATATCAACAGTATACCAAGGAGAGAGGTGTCCTGTGATATCCACAGTATACAAAGGGGAAAGGTGACCTTAAGTAGCCGCAGAGTATAGTTAGGAGAAGTGACTTGAGGTAGCCACAGTGTATAGTAAGGAGAGGTGGTTTGAGGTAGTCACAGTGTATAGTAAGGAGAGTTGACCTGTGATATCCACAGTATACCAAGGGGAGAGGTGACCTGTGATATCAACAGTATACCAAGGAGAGAGGTGACCTGTGATATCCACAGTATACAAAGGGGAGAGGTGACCTGTGATATCCACAGTATACAAAGGGGATAGGTGACCTGTGAAATCCACAGTATACAAAGGGGAGAGGTGACCAGATGTAGCCGCAGTATATAGTTACTATCTCAGGTTTAGTTTTGTTAATAATGCTTTGTTCACTTAATTTTTACATGTATATATTTTATTGTTTATTAGTCAATAGGTTGTTGAGGCCACAGAGACCATGCTCGATCGATCAGTATGACCATAAATAAATTGTTTAAAATGATGCAAAAAAGGAAAGAAACGACTGAAATATTCCTGGTTACATTGTATTTAAAATTAAGCCTACGTACTCCTCCCGCACACGATCGAAACCTTTCCATCAACAAGTACATCCGGGAGAACCATGCCACGACACATGGCAAGCTGGTAAACAGGTAGAAATACTATCGAAAGGAGTAGCATTTGGTCCACTGTACAAGCATGGAATAACGTCGCACTTGCAACTCTCTGACAAAGTGTCATCACTAAGAACTCATGTGCATTATATAGCATCAGAGAATGTGAGGGAAGTGCTCAAAAACTCAAACAAAGCCTGGACAATATTGTCCAACATTATCAAAATGTGCACACTGGTTGCTCAGAAACATCTAACTGTAGGACATATCCCGACCACCAGCCGTCAAAAATGATCATCAAGGACCCAAAGGCTGAGCTACTTCTGCGCAACGCAATCCAGAAAAGTGCAATATACCAGAACCCAGCAGACTACGTCGACGTCATGGCCATGGACACATTCTATGTGGAGTCATTCAACAATGTTTTGAACCTTTTTCATGACAAACGAATTGCATTCGGGAATGAAGAATACATCCTGGGAAGCCATATGGCTGTCCTTCACTGGAATGGAAATGTAGATAGGCCCTACAGCAGTATTTGGAATCCACCAGAGGCCCAGTTTGCACCTAACATTGGTCCTAGACACCACGAAGGCGAACAAGTGTACAAGACGCGAACATTAATGTACACGTGGAATATACGGAATGCTTACATGAATTTTTAATTTGGAAACTGACTTCTGGATAAACAACTTACCAAGTTCATAAAACACAAGTCATAAAAAAGTATGAGATTCCATTGTTTGGACGATTTATTTACATAATGACATTGATTAACACCGTATATGACATTTTGTATTACCTTTGGATATAACCTTTTCAAAGGGCATTATTATTTCGTGACGGTTTATTGAGCTATGAACACATTGATTGGAAAGCTGTTGTGTTTGCCATGTGATATATATACACGCTCTAGATATTATGAAAAAAAAGAGGATTTTTCGGTATTTACACCAAGATTTCTCATTTCTTAATTTTGTTTCTCTTCTTTTTATTTCAATATATATGCATATATATTTTCGTTTCTCAATTTTTATCTCATATGATTTCAATATATATATTCATTCCTATTCCTATATTATATTTAAATGCACAGTACAATAAATAGTTTGGTTATTAAATCAGTTTGGCCTTATTGGTAATTTTATTTATAAAGTCGGTCTTTCAGTGTGTGTGTAGACAGCAGGCTGACCACAACAGCTATGACCAAAGGCTAGTCCTACATACAATGTAACAGGTGTGGGTTTTATCAGCAGCAGCAAGGCCTTACACCCCCATCCTGTGTATAAAATCTAACACCCCCAAATGTTACTCCCATGGGAGTCAAAGTTCATTAAGGCTCGTAACACACGCGTCCATAGCCACGAGTCTTTATCACACAGTAACACATATGCATGTATATGTAGCGACATCTGCGTGGAGGCCAGTTTAAATGTGGGCCACATTACTACAGTTAAATTACTACAGCGGTTGAGCAGCTCTAACGACTCTGAGAGAACGTGTGTGTTTCCCAAAAGGACACATATCTAAAATGGAAATGACAGATTCTAACACGAAACCCCGGAGAACGTTTCTGAGGGTGGCCGCGTTCGATACGAAGTTCAAGAAGCCACCCGAACCAGCTAAATCACTTCCACAGCGAATATCTACAGGGTGCAAGGACTATTTCTCCAAGAGAAGGTTGATAAAAACAGTGTATGCCAATTTTCCCTTCATAAGATTGATTAGGAAATACAATCTCAAAGAAAACTTGGCCAATGATGTTATTTCTGGACTTACTGTTGGTATTATGCAGATTCCCCAGGGTATGTATGCCAAATCCCCCCGCCCCAACCTCCATGCAGCTCGGCTCTCAATAAACGTGTGACATAAATGCTTAAACAATATCTGCTTTGTGAAAGTGCAATGCGAAGGGCGTAGCACAATAAAAGGCGTTGTTAGAAGTAAACAGACGGCAGTTTTTAAGACATTTGAATCAAATGTAACGGCCTCTATGTGAGTAAACAATGATTACAGTTCCCTCCCCCCACTTGACCCTCCCACCAGTAAAAGCAGGTCAACACTTATATAGGCACCGTGCGTGTAAGTGCTGCCGGAGAACGCATCGCCCTCCAACAGCTCATGTTTTGTAGAGGTTATACATGTTTAAAAGTTTACGATGTCGAATGACATGCACTTCTATGCATAGACATGCAATTCATATATATATACATGTACAGTCATATAGATAACACTTATAATGTCAACGATCTTCTTGATTTTTTATTTGATGAATTTGATGCATCAATTTATTTATGATAAACTTGTGACTTCGATCATAATTAATCATAAAACTCCCCTGAAAAGTATTCCCTTATCAATACATATTTTTTAAATTTTGTAGCCACGCTTTAAGATAGCGGTGGTTATGTAGGACACTGCTAAAAATGCGATATTTACTCCCTAGCAACCCGTTACACGTGTGCACTGCGCCTTAGCCGCTGTCGGTCGTGAAAATGAACCATGAACCCGGTAATACAAACGAGAAGTCTAGACTTTTAAAGTTCCTTCACAATTGTTTGACGTAATGACATGCTAAAACATTTGTTGTAAAATAAATAAAGTTAATATGTATTCATTTATTCATCCTCTTGACTAAAAAGCACCCTTTTTCATTATGGATGTAGGGTAGTGTTAATCTAAAGTTTAAAAAAAGAATGCTTACAATATACAAAAAAATGTAGTTCTCCGAACCGGAAGTGGGCGTTGAGTTCCCCTTCGGGGTTAATGAAAAGTGCTGAAATGTTCGCCTACTCGTTTGATATGGGTTTTCTCATACCAGAAAAAAACCTTATAAACCTTTTCAAGTTTAATTTTGATAAATTTTGTTTTTCCAGATACGTCTGAAACCGTTAAGGAGGTTAATCCGTTGAATGTCCATGTCTATATGTTTTATAAGAACAGTACGTACATGGATATATGTTTATGAGCATGTATAAAAATACCTAATTCAACTAGATGACTAAATGAAATGTTAGTCATGTCTAACAAGATAACAGGATACATTTTGATTTCATCATATGCTTCAGAATCGATGTCATGATAAAAAACAGCGACCCAAGCTTCCCAGTCCGACGCTCTAACAACTAATCTAAATATAAACTACCTCTTGCACGAAGCTAGAATGCAACCGTGATCATATGTACAATACAAACATGCCACACTTCTCCTTCCCTTTTTAAAATGTGTTCACTTCCAAACATCGCTACAATCCATGTTTAACTCCATGGCACCAAAGGGAGGGACTCAATTTGCAACAGGAAAGAGTCTGAGAGTAGTGTGCATGTCTTAAGAAAACTATTAACAAAAGAATATTTGGAGGAAATTATAAAAAAAAGTATTTGCTCATTATTTGCATGAAGAAAAAGGTAGATATCAAAATATTGAACGTAGTCTTACAGTATTTACTGTATGCAATTTAAATAATGTTGAAGATGAGTTTCATTTTATGTTGAAATGTCCATGTTGTCCTGATTTGCATGTTAATTTTTTGAAAAGTTACTATATAAAAAAGCTAAATATTGATAGAATGATTTAGTGTAAATAAAACGAAAGAAAAGTCAATTTGGGCAAATATATACAGGCGGCAAATGTAATAATAATAATAATAATAATAATATACAACATTTGATATAGCGCCCCATCTAGCTACATGTAACATAGGCAAATACACAATTAAAACAATTAGCATATACATTAATCAATACAATTTTGAGGAATTCGCAGGAGTTGCCATGTCAGGCGCTAACTACTAGCCCTATGCCACCTGGCTGATATCTCCCTATGTGTGTATGCCTGCGTGTGTGCTGGAGATGTAATGTGTAAGAAGAAACCAATTAACCTAATTGTTACACTTTCCATGTTATATTGCCTTAAATGTAAAGTTTGTAGAAACTGTAAATATCTGAAGAAACTGAAACTAAGGAGCTTGAGCTTGAACTTTCGAGCCAGCCGCTCTACTATTTGCACGAAGGTAGGCTAATGAGATGGTGTATTCATTTATACCTGCTGCTCATGAAATATACGATTTCAAATACACCCCTGAAGCTTTAACCATAAGTACTTGTATTATCTAAACATATCACTGACTGAAATAAATCGCATATCTGCTTATGTAAATGTGTTGTCTATGTCCTCCGGGAGTTGACTTTATTATCCACGTTACATGATCTTACTAGTGTAAAACATACCATAGCGTCTTTACATAAAAACCAAAATCTGAACCAAAAGCTAGTTAGAAAGCCGGAGACGAAATCAAGTACTCTGGAGGGAGGTGTTCCCTGGACCACGTGTGATACCTAGGTACAGTAGTTGTTATTCCCTGCTTAACGTTCAGCATGAAGGGGAATGGCAACAACTGGTTCAATCGTTATCAGTATAATGTGACCGGGCGGACTGATGTGCTTGGTGCCTTTGGCATGGTATTTCAGTGAGATAGCACTATACAGTCGGCATCCGCACAAGGAGGCAAGCACACCAACATACCCTGTCTCCTGCATACACACACGCAAGCACACATACACTACGCACATGGAGGCACGTCCTTAAATGACCTAAGCTTTTAATAGGGCGTTTAACAAAATTACACCAAGTCACTGGAGTACATAATGTATTTACTTTGAAAGCTGCGAACGATGTAAGACATGGCATAGCTATGCATTTTTTATTCATATTTTGTATCCATAACGCCACATTTTATGGTGCGGAACCATCTTTGTTTATTTTTTTGCTGTTTTAAGTAATACGGTCATATATGGTCACAATGTAGTCTGAACAGTCCATCAACACAATAAGGTCATATATGGTCACAATGTAGTCTGAACAGTCCATCAACACAAAAAGGTCATTAAAGTGTAACACGGGAAGTCTTAACTACGATGGACGACAAAAAGATTTGAATTTTCATATCGTTTTGTCTGGCTCTTATCGGACATCGTAGTTAACGGTCAATCAACAGAATAAAGTCGTGCAAAAACAGTCAGTAGCCTAACAGCCCTTCAACACAATCAGGTCAAACATGGCCAAAAGGTAGTCTTAACGGCCTATCAAGACAATACTGTCATACATAACAACATGGCAACACAATAAAGTGCTTACAGCCCATAAACACAATAATGTCATACAGGACCACACGGTAGTCTTACGGGCCATCTACAAAATAAGACCATATAGGAGTTTTAACAGTCCATCGGCACAATACAATTATACAGAACCACGCAGAAATGTAAACAGCCCATTAACGCGATACTGTCATACATGATCACACTGTAGTTTTAACAGCCCATCACATATATAAACCAACTGAAGTCTTAACAGCCCATCGGCACAATAAGGTAAAAATGGCCAAACGGTAGTCTTAGTTTTTCATGGCAACACAATAGTGCTTACAGCCCATTAGCACATTAAGATCATACAGGACCCAACAGAAGTTCTAACAGCCCATCGGCACGATACCATTATACAGGACCACACAGAAGTGTGAACAACCCATCAAAACGATACCATTTAACAGCACCACACATGTGTGAACAACCCATCAAAACGATACCATTTAACAGCACCACACATGTGTGAACAACCCATCAAAACGATACCATTTAACAGGACCACACAGAAGTGTGAACAACCCATCAAAACGATAATATTATACAGGACTACAATGTAGTCTTAACGGTCCATCACCACAATAAGGCCATATAGAACCTAACAGAGGTCTTAACAGACCATCGGCAAAATTAGGTCAAATATGGCCCATAAACACAATAATATCATACAGAACCACACGATAGACCTAACAGCCCATCGACACAATTAGGTGTCTAATACTCATATCTAACAATATTAAAAAAAAAAATCAATCTTATGGAAAATCGAATTAGTTAGCAAAATAATGTGTTTCCTTCAAATGCATGAATCATGTATATATTTGTTAAATGAATAGAACAGCCACTATTACAAAAGGATCAGTGCTATCCGACGTATCAATCATGAAGTTGTGGAATGGCATTCATAGCTGATATGAAGGTTATCTGTATTTGGTAGGGAATTATAGTTGGAGTGCAATATAGTGAAAGGATCATAAAAACAGTTTTCAAACATTGCATTTTACAAGGAACTTGTCTTTTACAGGGATGGCGTACGCCCTGCTGGGATCGCTGCCCCCTATCGTTGGATTGTATACGTCATTTTTCGGTCCACTCATCTATTTCTTCCTTGGAACCTCACGTCACGCTTCAATGGGTTTGTATCTACGAGACTTCATCAACGCCTTGTTTATAATTTGCACGTCATCTTCAAAAACGCCGTTATTAACTCAAATAAATCGCCAACGTCATAAATAATTGATATATGTGAAATATTACTAATAAAATGCAATGCTACATGTTGCACTTCTAAACAGGACTGCAACATATATGACATTTGTGACATGTGTGTAAAATATAGATCACCAAAAAAACTACAGGCATGTATTTTAGGTTTTGACATTTAAATGTATCAACAAATATATTAAACAAACATGGAATGTAAAATGTCATCTAGTGAGCAAGCCACAGATCTAAATTATCTGAAGTATTCACAATATTTGACCCAATTGTTAAAATGGTAATAATTATATTTTAACACCAGAGGAGTCGCTTATTTGCATACCGTTTTTATTCTGCAATAAGCGCAAATTGTCCAACTATTTAACGCTGACTCAGGCTTATTGCAAGACAGTGAAAACTGACATAGGTGGACTTACATATGTATTACTGGGTTTAGGCTTATTGTCGGATATATACGGTCACCTTTAATGAAACAATTTACCAATTAATGGTAAAACAAAACGAGCAAGGAAACCATGGGACAGTGAGCCAGTTTTTAGCCATGTTGGAAATCAAGTCATTTGAACAACTGTAGAATAAGGGCGTTTCCTGAAGCAGGCTTTGCTGGGGGGTGTTTTGACATACATTATAAGGCTTGGGTGTATGTAGAATTTCTTTGCCTAGGATAATAGTGATGTTTTCAACAAAAATGTGACGGTATCATCTATCTCTGGGTATAGCTGTACTAGTTTGTGTCGATTAACAGTACTTTTAATTACTCAGGTAAACAGCAGTTTTAGTCCTATAGGTAATAACTATATTTTTTCACAGGCCCGGTAATGGCACAGTTTCCGATGAAATTTGGCTTTTACACAGTCATGCTCTGACAAAAATTATTTATGAAATTTAATCTATCATTTAGAAGACAGCGGTCTTTATTTAAATTGAATATATTAAATAAAAACAGCATGCCACAAGGTTTGTATACACAGGGCAAATTGGATCCAATAAGACACCAAAGCAATATGGTATAGATCATGGCCCGCGTGAAGTTGGTTACTTATTCAATATTGGGAGGCCCATTATTGGGCTAGTTTGATATTCAGATGCAACTAACAAACAAGTTCTTATGTCGCTTTTTTCACAACTATACCACAACAGGGCATCTTGAGGTATCCACATGCAAAACGGCATCAACGAAATCCCAGGCTAAAGATACCCATCGAATTTCTGTATAGAATCGTGAAGTTTTCGTTTTCAATAACCAGGGCATGTTGTTATAAGTCGTATGCCTAGATCATGGTGTTCTTGTAACTTTAGCATTCGTTGCATCACATGTAGCGTCCTTCATCACCTCTCCTGTCAAATCCAGCAAAATGATATCTTAGACTCTGTATTTAATCATGACAGACATTGAAACAACTTGGACATAATGGGCAAGTAAATGTTTACTTTGTGTGGCTAGCTAAATCGACTTAATAAACATTTGATATTTCTTGGTTTTTTGTTAAACAGGTTGCGTTGGCTTGTACTCTCAGAATATCTTATTTGTTATTTCGTAGATATTCATAAGAGTATTTACATAACGTCACGCTATCGTATTTATTCATTCATTCATTTATTCATTCCTTTTATCTATTTATCTCATTTATTTATTTATTTATTTTATTTATTTTAATTTGGTTTTTATTTATTCACTTGTTACTATTTTTATTATTGATTTATTTATTCATTTTATTTATTTATCTTATTTATCCTTATTTATCAATTTCATTCATTTATTATTTATTTGGCACACTGCGCTTTATTCATTTATAGCTAGAGCTCCGGGGATATTTTACGATATGACTAGTTCCAATGTGGCAAGGATTGATTTTAAATGGCAATGTATGTTATAAATCAGAGTTATTTCTTATTCTATTACAGGTACGATCGCCATAGTGAGTTTGATGATAGCCTCCGTCCTTGACACAAGACTCGGGGACGGAACATCAACGGTCCCCTCCGGAACGACCAGCCCCTTCCCCGTCGTCGGCTTCAACGTGACGGCAACGCCTAATTATACTGACGTCACAAACACAACCACAGCCGCCACACAAATCGCCACAATGACGTCAGCATTCACGGAACACGACTTACAGAAGATACGAATAACAGCAGCTCTGTCATTCGTATCCGGGTTTGTCATGGTAATATTTCAACTGGGGTTATATTTTAATGGCGAACAGACCTGATTTACGAAGCGAGCTTGTGCTTCGTTGTTTACTAGCGTTTGCGCATTATATAGGCATGTTATTAGATAGTAACTTTCATCACTTACATTAACCTTGAAACAACTGTCATTGTGTAGAAATAACAATACCCGTCCCTTTCCGTATTGAAAAACTAAATCATCATGCGAAGCATATTCATTCAATTAAAATATGTTGAAGTTATGACGTCATAGTGACAATCACATCATACTCATTGTTAACCAAATCCCAATTAAGAAATGTAAGATGTTTTAATTGTCATTTATATTATATATATCTTCCATGTTTTTATGTTTATGTTTATTTTTATTAAATATAACAATATCTCCACGACAAGGGAAAACAGGTGTTAGTACCTCCAAACATATGTTATAATATACCAATGTTTATTTACAGTTGCATAATTCCAAACAATTTATTGACTCTGGGAAAAAGATATATATTTTTTACAATATTTCGATCGTTAACAATGGTTACATGTACTGAATAAGTCAAATTTCTCAAATTCCTAAAATGTAGTTGTTTTGGACTTTGAATTTTCATTAAATGCGTGAACTATGTTACCATCCTACAATTTTGGCTAGTGACGAATTTTGATAAAATACAGCGTGTATAACAACAAGAACATTGCTTCGAATTATTTAGCTGTATCTTTAATTACATTGTACTGATTATTAGATTGTATCAATAACTTGGGTGAACCAATTATTGGAATGAACCAATTATCAGATTGCACCAATTATTGTATCAGAGTAAACCAATTACTAGAGTGAAGCAATTATTTTAGTGAACCATTGATAAAATTGAACCAATTACTAGAGTGAACCAATTATTAGAGTGAACCAATTATTTGAGTGAACCAATTGCTAGTGAACCAAATTAATTAGAGTGAACCAATTATTTGAGTGAACCAATTGCTAGAGTGAACCAATTACTAGAACCAATTACAAGAGTGAACCAATTACAAGAGTGAACCAATTATTTGAGTGAACCAATTGCTAGAGTAAACCAATTACTAGAACCAATTACTAGAGTGAACCAATTATTAGAATGAACCAATAACTAGAGTGAACCAATTATTTGAGTGAACCAATTGCTAGAGTAAACCAATTACTAGAACCAATTACTAGAGTGAACCAATTATTAGAGTGAACCAATAACTAGAGTGAACCAATAACTAGAGCGAACCAATTACTTGTTACACCAATTATCAGAACGAACCAACCATTGGAGTGAACCAATTATTACAAGATTAGAGTGAACCCAACTATTAAAGTTAACCAATTATTAGCTTGCACCAATTATTAGACTGAAACAGTTATTAGATTGCATTAATAATCATAGTGAACCAATTATAAGCACGAACTAATTATAAAACCAATGATTCACTTACGTGTTTATTATCCTGTAGATTTTCCTAGGGAAGATCAATATGGGCTTGGTGGCCACGTACATGTCAGAACCGATGGTGTGTGGCTTCACTTCCGCTGTGGCCATCCACGTGACCACTAGTCAGGCCAAGCACATCCTCGGGATCAAAATTGGTCGGCACAATGGCGTGTTCAAGGTCATAAAGGTAAGGTCATGGAGGAATGTGAAATTCGTGCAGGTAAGGTCATGGAAGAGTGTTTGAGATTTCAGTGTCAGAAATATGACGTAATATTTACATTCTGTATGCTTAGACCCATTGACAAAAATTACATTCATAAATGCATAACACAGGTGTTCATAGAATCTCAGCACGTGGGAACTGATAGTAACCTGATCACACTGCGTAGTAATACACTACAAAAACTACTCACTCGGAACGACCGACCTAGATGCTTAATTCTTACATCTTAAAATATTATTGAACTGTGCTTTGTGAAATATCCACGTATTCACGTGTCCTGTGCTACAAATAAACATTGAATATGGAACTACATTTTGTTGTGTTATTGTTGTTGACGGTTGCTAAGATCTCTCACGATAGTGTCACATTTCCCCGCGAAAAAACACTGTTCTCGCCACTGCGTTGCACCCGTGTATAAGCAGGAACAAACCCTGTTTATTTGTTTTATTCGTTGTTATATCGATCCACTGAAAGGATTCGTCAATGTAAATATAAGGAATGATATTTATTTTTTCAACATTTATGAGGTCATAACAACAATGGGTTTTTGGACATATTTTACATGAATCGCTAACGCGATTCATTCAATATGTCCATAAACCCATTGTTGTTATGACCTCATAAATGTTGAAAAAATAAAAATCATTCCTTAAATAATGGAATGTATAGGTCATAAATATAAGGTCATGGTGAAGCGTTAAAGGTCATAAAATGTAATGCTTGTATTGGAGTGTTCAATGTCATATTGGTAATATCACTGTGAAGTAGCCATAGTCATAAAAGGGAATGGTATAGTTGGGTATTTAAGGTCATACGGGCAAAGTTTAGTTTCGGTTTGGTCGCTTTTGTGTCCCCAAATAGAGGACACCAAAGCAAATTCCCAATTCTGCAGACGGGCAAAGTCATAATGAAATGATAAGACGATAACAATAATGTTGCTATATAATATTAATAGAATCCATCCCTAATGTGAGGTATGGATAAGGTAATTCAAACCCAAGGGATATCATATTGAGCAGGAGATCCGAGGCTTTGCCGAGGGACTTTTGCGCAATAATTTATCCACAGGGTTTGAATTATCTTATCCTTACCTCACATCAGGGATGGATTCTATTTCTTGCTTGTTACCTGAAACCCGTAAATACAGCTGCTCTTCTAATAAAGTTGTAAACTGTCCGCGCATTTCTCATTTAAGGAATGATTTTTATTTTTTCAACATTTATGAGGTCATAACAACAATGGGTTTATGGACATATTGAATGAATCGCGTTAGCGATTCATGTAAAATATGTCCAAAAACCCATTGTTGTTATGGCCTCATAAATGTTGAAAAAATAAATATCATTCCTTATATTTATATTGACGAATCCTTTCAGTGGATCGATATAACAACGAATAAAACAAATAAACAGGGTTTCTTCCTGCTTATACACGGGTGCAACGCAGTGGCGAGAACAGGGTTTTTTCGCGGGGAAATGTGACACTATCGTGAGAGATCTTAGCAACCGTCAACAACAATAACACAACAAAATGTAGTTCCATATTCAATGTTTATTTGTAGCACAGGACACGTGAATACGTGGATATTTCACCAAGCACAGTTCAATAATATTTTAAGATGTAAGAATTAAGCATCTAGGTCGGTCGTACCGAGTGAGTAGTTTTTGTAGTGTATTACTACGCAGTGCGATCAGGTTACTATCAATTCCCACGTGCTGAGATTCTATGAACACCTGTGTTATACATTTATGAATGTAATTTTTTGTCAATGGGTCTAAGCATACAGAATGTAAATATTTGCATATGAAGCACGGATGGCAATTGTTAATGACGTCAATGACCCTGACTGACCCGAAAATGTCATAAAATGACGTCACGAACAATAGCGTGACCCCGAAAGGTCACTTTAATTCCCCCGCCAGTCTGCGCATGTAAGCGATCTAGACCCGTGGGTCGGATAGAATTTTCCAGCACCGCCGGAAATGCGGATATCTCGGTTTAGTATCCAAGAATCAAGTTTCTGAATATAATCTGGTATTAACTTATTAATGTCATATTGGGGGAGAGTTTACAATTCGATGTTCATAGCCTTAAAGGGTAGAGTAATGTTGTTCAGTATCTAAAAGGCAATATCACAATGAAGAGTTTAGTGTCGCAAAGTTGACGACATGCAAGAATATTCGTCGTCATGAATATTAAATCGTAATAAGTGTTCGAACTATTTTCTTTACCGTACATGATCTAATCTTTATTGCAGACATGGATTGACATTTTCAAAAACATTGCTACAATCAATTGGGCCCCGGTCATCACATCTATCATCTGCATCCTCGCCATCTACGCCGTCAAAATTCACGTCAACCTTCGCTTCAAGGCCAGACTGAAGATTCCCATACCCATTGAGATCATCGTCGTATGTTATGACGTCACCTCCGCTTCTTTTCTACATTCAAGAATTCCCCTTCATTGGATAACTTTCTATTTGCATAATATTTTCTTTAAACAATTTTAGAGAAGAAAATAAGTCAGACATGTTGACTGAAATAGCTATTTACTCAGTCAATAAGAAAATTCTTTATCACGCAATTTTGTATTTGTATCTTGGAACGCCATATCTACCTCTTGATCAAGGATCTCCGTACTACTGTCGAAATATGTAACTATGAATTGGCGCTTTTGTTTTTGTAAATATAATTCAAGCTTCATGAAAAAAAAGACGTATTCGGTTTATTTAATTTTACTCCTGTATATACTTGACATATGGTTTGCTTCTGGATCATGTCATGATAGAGTGACGTGGAATTTAGGTACTGTAATACAACATCCCCTTCACCTCCAAAATGATAAATACTAATACCGTTTTTTTCGAATTTTATGATAAGTTTTCATTGCTATTGTCTTCATTCTTCCGAGCTCAAAACGCACATGAAACACGTTTATAAAACCAATGTTTTCTTTTTTATTTATCACAGGTGTCCATAGCCACGGCGATATCCCATGTCGCGAAGTTTCAGACAAATTATGACGTCAATGTTTTAGAGGATATTCCATCCGGGTACGTTTACTCATCGATTCTTCCGTCACTTGTAGATGCTTTGTGTATTACTCTGCAACGGCAAAACAATGACGGACTCTCTATGGCACTACAGCGGAATTCACAGTTAAAACAACAATGCAAACTCCGGGGCAGGACTGCATATTTCGGTTACATGTAAACAACAATTGCTTTTTTAGTGTAGCAAAGTATAACTCACAGTTAAAACGCTTTCTGGTTTGGAACAATGAAGAATATTTAGATTTCAAATACATGCGCCACTAGTTAAAAGCTGTCACAATATACGACAGAAAAGGTTATCGTTTTATAATTAATCAGAGTATGGTAGTAAAAGTTGATTTATTCAATCAAAGATTACTCATACAAACCTTGTCTTAAACGTTAAGATAAAAACGGCATCACGTTAGAATCATATCATTATTAAAAAAAAAAATCACGGCTTACAGGACTTTTCTTCGTTTGTTCTATTTATAAGCTTTTTTATATGTATACAGGTTACCAGCCCCCGCAATACCGGATGTGACGTTGGTTGGAGAGAGTTTTAAGGATGCTGTCATCATTGGTGTCGTCGCATTTATACAGTCGGTATCGATGGCGAAAATACTAGCTCGCAAAAACAACTACCGCATTAACCCTAACCAGGTGATTTTCCTGTTTTATTTCATACATAACAAAGAGGTATCGATGCGCGCCACCAATATCATAAGTTAAAAATAAGATATGTCAAATAATATGATCCATTATTCAAGTTTGTGTTGTTAAACTGTATGTTTGGTACACAATTTCTCAGTCTGCTGATACATTTGAACTTATGTCGATTAATTGTCGTATATAAGATGAAGTTGACCTTTTCCGACTCTGATTGGTCAAGACATTGTCTTGTTCTATCAATATTTTAGTTTATTGGTCAGATATTATTATTTAAGAAACAGCAGGTTAATACATTTTTGATGGTAATAACTCACATTGGTTCCTATTTCCATGAAAGTTTAATTTACAGTATACAGTTGAATATATTTCTTTCATGATAAAGAGATATCTTTACCGTATTTTATAGCTACGCGTAACAACATTTATACAGAAGTACTATGCTCTTTTACAAAAATGGGTATTCCAGGTGAAAGGGAAAAGTCAAGGGATAACTAGAATGTGACGGATTATTTGGTAACTTTTTCTGTTTAATCAATTAGATTTGTAATATATTCAAGTAAGGATACAGATAATTTGGAGCTTTAATACGCACGTGACTATGAACCAATTCAACGTAAAAAACACCTGTTTGCCTTGTATTGACTGTATCTACGTAATAATATCTACAGGAAATGATAGCATACGGGGCAGGCAGTGTGCTGAACGCCGTGTTTTCTGGGTACATCCCCGCAGCCTCCGTGGCGAGGAGCATGGTTCAAGAGGGAGCCGGAGGTCACACTCAGGTAGGTGAACACCTGCTTAAAGTGCTTCGGAAAAACACCCTTTCGTACCATACTGAGTATTTCATAGATTAAAGTGTGTAATAAAGAATCGTAACGAATAGTTGATAAATAAAAAAAATAAACATAGTTGTTCGACGTACTTGCTGAAGTTGTGCGTCCCGCACTCTTCCCGAAGCGAATGGTTTCCTCTGACCTACCAATATAACGAAATGAGAATCAGTTTCCTCGCGAAAAATAGAGTACATGCGAAACATAAGAAACTTAAATTTAATAAGTTTCAATTTGTTCGTTTTTTTTATTAAATCCTATATGCCTATTGGCCATATTTGTTTATGTTATACACTCTAGGTGGCCTCCCTGTTCGGTTGTCTGGTCGTGCTGGTCGTCATTGTGGCTATAGGACCTCTGTTCTACTCTCTTCCAAAGGTAATGAGCCGATACATATATGCATGCTCTTAGGAATGCTGACTACAACAATTCAGTGTACATTTGTATTGATTATTCGCATTGTTTCTATAAAGTAATGCTTTATTATACTCGCCACAATAACATTTGGTATATACCTGTTCGTGGTTTCAGTTCATCCCTCGCCGTAGATACAGGCTTAGCATGGCTACTCCTCCAGAAAATACTGCTTAAATCTTGGCTGTCAATATGCAGAGAAACTGTAAATTATGTAACTCCTTTTTTGATCGTTCAGGACATATTTATCGGAGTTACGTCCTTTTTATATATATATAAAACGTACTACCAAGAAGCTTTCTATATAATATAAGTATGCAAGTAAAATGTAAATTTTCATTCCGACCCTTTTTGTTAGAGTTATGCCTCTATATACATGAAACTATGTTCGCACTACCGCTACTTCTCCCGAGGTACTGCACACATTTTAATGACATGTACAGTGTGTAAACGTCATAAGCATATAATTAAACTGTCAGTGTGAAAAGCATTATTTAGTTTATCACAACCAAAAGGTAGTCTTAACAGGATTAGACGCGTATGAGTTTTATTAGTTTGCCTACAGCTGAAAGTTCTAGTTTAATCATGCATTCACGATAATCTAGCCAAGAAAGTCTGGTACTTTTTTACATGTCAAACCAAGTGAACGATTAAATCTGCCATAAGTATTTTTAGAGTGAATATTCATATAGAAACTTTAGATATTTAACCTGTGGACTGTTGATTTTTGCAGTGCGTATTGTCCTGTGTTATCCTGGTCAATTTGAGGAGCATGTTTCTTCAGTTCCTAGAGCTCAAACCCCTGTGGAGGAAGTCAAAATACGATTTCGTAAGTACGTCAGAGCTGTCAATTTTAATGTGAACTGGGTAATTTAATTTAATTATGTCGTACGTAACGTATGTTCCTCACTGTAAATAGCTAAGTATACATGTTCTATTTCACAACGAATTTCTTTACAGATATTATCACTTACAGCTGCAAATACGGGAAAATATATTGCTTTTATATGATATTTTAATTTTAATTTTTATATGACACATTTTTGTTTCCTGGGAATTTGTTATACTACGACTAAGTATTTTACAGAACTTTCTTCTTTTTCGAACAAAATACATCAACTCTATAATTGTCAAATTTAAAAATAGTACAGGCTATAGAAACTAGTCTTTTGATTGATAAAGCTTGGGTAAATGAAACGTAATATGGCGGAAGTGTTAAAATACACATTTTTTTTTAACGAACAGAAATAATAAACTGGAACTGGAAACAAGTATCTATAAATTTTACAGAGATTATTCCTAACATCGAAAACGAAATAAAGCTTTCGGGACAAAAATCGTTAATTAGAACGATGACACAGCGTAACATCCTGTTTACATTTTTAATGCTGATTTATAATGTTTTTCTTATTTGTTTCCTTGGGTATCGATGTTGTCTTTCATACATCCTTAAAGATTCAATTTTCCCTAGAGTGTTAAAATAGCAGTATGACATATTTAAGTTTGCTTTTTCGTTAAAGCTGTAGTGTTAAATTTCCTTTTACAGTTTATGCCTTTTCACACATTTTACCATTTCAGCTGATCTGGATTGTGACGTTCCTGGCCACAGTTATTCTCGACGCTGACATCGGTATAGGCATTGGGATTGTCTTTTCCATTCTCACAGTGGCCGTCCGCACTCAAAGGTAGACTAGGATATTTACACATGTGATTGGGGGTGACTGTTAATCTCTAAAACTTCCGAGCGTTATATGGGTGACCCCATACCTTTTCACGTCTAATCAGGGAATCGAACCCAAGCCGCCTTGGTGGAAGCAAGTGCGCTATCCACTGCGTCACCCGACGCAGTGGATAGCGCACTTGCTCGATCATTTCTTAAAATACTAGTTTTATTCCAAAGTTAACTAAAGAGAGGTAACTGCGACTTAAAACAACAATCGAATTTTACGTTGATATATATTTTACGTGGTTCTACAAACCATTTTAGATGTAATCATATTTCTGAGATTGCGAAGAGAAAGAAGCTGGTCCATTATTGATTAATTCGTTCATACTAGAAATTCAGCTCCGACTAAGTGACTAGTGACTCCAGGAAATGTTTATACACAATGATACATGTATATAAGTTGATAATCTTCAAAATTTTCAATCATGACAGGCGTCACATTGAGTAGGAATTCGTAGCCGTTGCCATGCAGAGATCTTGTTGCTTCCCTTTTTGTTTTGTTTTTTGTAAGTTCTTGTTGCTTTCTTTTTGTTTTGATGTCTCCTTGGTTTATTCTGTTGTTTGACGCTGTGGTATAATATTCGTCTTTACCTTCTCGCTAATAGGTCTAGGTCAGTAATGTTTGTTTCCCAAATGAAATACGCATTTTATTAAAGTAAATGTATTACACTTTGAAGGTATGTAATCATTAGAATGATAAGGTTATTCTAGTCTGTATTTTAAGCCATCTCCATCCCCACTCTACTCATTTTGTTTTCGAGACTAAACAAAAGTAATAATTACGTGGTATGTATATCTTTTAACCATTGAATGAAGCTTGTTGACATTGACAGGCCAGAATTTTACCGAGCAGGGGTTATTGATGGGCAATACTTGAAATCGACACAGAAATACAATGAGGTATGTAGTGAATGTATTAGCCGTGTGTTTGTATTTATAACAAGTTATGTACGTATTCGTGCTGTCAATGGCTGTGAAGTGGATTAAATTCTCTCATTGACCTCTCGAAGACTTACTAAGCACCATTTTTATTCCTGTTAAAATTTGCCTGCATGACACCGACCACTTTGCTGGATTATAGTGTCATGTCCTCAATTGATCGAAGCATTCAGAGATATAATTCAATATATGCTAACGATGCAAGTGTAAAACGTTATAGAGTTATTAGTTTTTTTTCTAAAAACGTAACGGAATTCTTTCATAAGATTACCAAGGGTTCAATTGCTCCACCCACAACAATACCATATCTTCTTTAAGAGTACTTGGAGTTATTATTTAGTCTTTATAAATTATATTTACTGATTGGTAGTTCATAACGTTTTATTGAAAAATGACTACTTTTAAAACCGAAAAGTAATGTAATCGAAACAATCACTGTTGTTTGCTTTAAACAGGTACAGGAAGAACCAACGGTTAAAATAGTGCGTTTCCAAGCACCACTGTATTTTGCCAACGGAGAGGTGTTCGTGAAAGCAGTTCGGACTGCTTCAAATATGGATCCGGAACAGATGAAGAAAATACGAAAACTACAAGAGAAGAAAAATAATGCGAAGAACCCCAAAGAGGTAAATAATGTAGGTACACTGTTGTGCATTTACGGATGAAATAAAGAATAAAGTATTGGCTACCAATGTCCTCCCAACTGTCCCGTATTTGCTGATGATATAATGAAATTAAAAGAGTTTGCAATGCCATAATACACATAAATATGAGCAAAACGAGACAAAAGGAGGGGCCATTGCAATCAACTTGAGGTACATGAATATTAGGTTTGAGCAAAATCAGACAAAGGGGTACATCAATATTAGCTATATAGTTCTGAGAAAAAAAAGTCAAAGTGAGGGACCATTGTCATCACTTTGATGTTCAATCCTATAAGGTTTGATCAAAATCAGACTAACAAAGGGACCATTGCTGTCATCTTGGTATATATCCATATTAGCTTTGAGCAAACTCAGTCAAAGGGAGGGACTATCCTCATCACCTTGGGGTATATCAATGTTAGCTTTATAGATCTGAACAAAATCAGTCAAAGGGAGGGACCATTGTCATCAGTTTGGTGTACAATCATATAGGGTTTGATAAAAAGTCTGACAAAGAGATGGACAATTGCCATCATCTTGGGATACATTCCTATTACGTTTGAGCAAAATCAGACAGAGAAAGGACCAATGCTTTCACCTTGGCGTACAAACATAAATAAGTCGATCAATAACCGACAAGAAAAGTATTGCGATGGTATAGTTACATCATGGTATCATTGTGTTTTGACACTGTGTTACTATTGTTCCTTAACGTTTTCTTTTAATCTCTGTCAATTTATCAGTCTACAGAAAATGGGATCCCTGATTCAGAAACTGGTGACGTCATGCTACTCAACCAAGCTGAAAACCGGAAGTGTAGAGAGGCTATACTGCTGGACATGGGCGGGGTTGCGTTCCTGGATGTTGTCGGTGTGAAGACATTGAGACGGGTCAGTTGAATGTTTAACCTCATGGCATGTGTCCTTATAAGGGAACTAACTGTTTCTTGTACTTATATCAAGCTTCTGTTGATACGCATTTTTTTCATTCGAAGAGACTGCAATACGTGTTCTGACACTGTAACACCATTTGGGTATGTGACCACTTATGTGAAGTCATCGGTCTGATTGTGAATTGCCTACTCCATGAATTTCAAGAAATGACCATAGGAGCCAAACGAAACTTAATAAAGCCTAACTTGTATTTCAAAATGAACATTTAAGTAATGTCTATATTATGAAATAATGCGGTGGTCTAAGGACTGCAATACCCTATGCTAAAACATGCATTGCTTCAGTAGCAGATCATGCAAAATATGGATGCATCATACAAAGTTATGATAGTATAGGAGAATTAATACTTAAGATTCGGCGACATATATTTTATCGCAAATCATTACTTGGCCTCTATTTGAGTCTATCAAGATGGACAAGTTTGAAGTTTTTCGTGATGTTCTCGTTCTAAGTATGTTATCTCCGGTTCCCACTATGAGGACGTGTCATTACTTGGATTTGACCAAGATGTCTATTGCGGGTGTCGTCAATGAAGCAGAAGACGCTTACACTTTCTGAACACCTGGGCCCACTTGTATAAAACATCTCAAAGTTAAGGAAAATCTCAAGTAATGTTTTGTCTATGGGAAATCTTAGACTTGAGGAAATCTCAAGAGTTGAGATATTTTATACAAGTGGGCCCAGTTGGTCTTATTATTCATGTACTTTTTAAGGGTTTCAATTGATACCTTTTCTTTGTTCATATTTCACCCTAGGTTTTCGGTTGGGAGTTCGAAAGACTGTTTTGTTGACACTTCAATATTCTCTTGTTATGAAACAAAATAAAACAAAACCATAAACAATAAAAGTAGCCAAACACATTGAGTTGTAATAAAAAAAACACAAGCATATCTCTTTTACATACTTGTCAATGAATAAATACACTTTATGAACACATTTAAAAAGAGATATTCGTCTCGTGAATATTCCTTTTTACAGAAAGATTTGTCCCATGGTTGAGGGAAGGTGTTTCGCCCCGTACCCATTTGTACCGGTCACATTCCGGTAATAGATATTTTCCTGGTGTCTATAAATAATGCCGAAATGCCAACAAATATTTTTTCATTTAAATTTTGAATATTGGCATGTATGCAATAAACGTCTGATGATGAATAATTACTGATTCAATAAGTTTCAACTTGAACTTAGAAATCATATCCCTTAGTTTCATAGCGCGGTAAGAAGTTGCAGTTGCCTTACGGCCCCTCATTTGGGGCCCCTTTGGAAACTTTGCATCTCGGTCAGACCACCTGTGTTTACTGACTCGTTTAAAAACTCTCACGTGACGTTATTGGTGCTATTTTAGACAGGGCTTTCCCGAACAATTCAAGTGGTCAAACTGGACATTTGGAACGGACTATGAATAAGGGGATAACAAGTTAACATAAGTAGAAGTGCATACAACACATATAATTATTAAAAAAATATGGCTCTTCACGTGATGTCCCTTAAAACAAAAACAAAAAACGAAAAAATATAACGAATCACATTCCTATTTTTGTCAGCTTCTTAACTGCACTTTTTTTTTTTAGGTCTTCAATGAATACAATGAAATTGACGTAGATATTATGCTGGCCGGATGTAGTGGTACGTATTAACTCAGTCATCTCTTTACAATAGACTGTCTAGTTATTTGCTTTGGAAGAGTCTAAATGTGACTTTAGGGGTCAGTGGATTAAAGGATCGATATGTCAACAACACGCATTTACACTTGCCGCTGTGTGTTTGCGTATGAATGTTCACTTTAGTTATCATAAACATTCATTAACAAGATAATGTGTCCCATCACCAAGCTTATACAGAACTTGAACAGTTCTAAGAGATTAAAGATTAGAAAATTTTGAAATTATTCCAATTATACATATTTGAATTATCACCAGTATGTGACCTATTACCGTAACGGATTATCATTTTTCAAGAACAAAAGTGTAATAATGTTTTTTTTTTTTATCCTATTGCCATTGCAAATTGAAACGTTTTACGCAAGAAATATAACCCTGTTGGAGATATAACACAACACTCTTGGATTCCTTACCTTAAGGTGCCAAGATAATATATACACAAATACGTAAGATCATGTCATTAGATAAACTAATTGTTTTGTAGATGGTGTGTTAGACATTCTACGATCGACCGATTTCATGTCCGAGAAAGAAGATTTTATTTACGTTGATATTGAATCAGCTATAGAAAGTCGCCGTGGGATATCCCTCCAGGATTAGTAATCCAGGGACTTTGACCAATGAACATTAGCATGTGACCAATGAACGGTTACACATAACGAATGGATGATAATATGGGGCCAATGACTGTTAGCAGGTGATCAGTGAATGGTAACACGTGATCAATGAATGATATCATGTGACCATTGAATGATAACATGTGACCAATGAACAGTAACGCGTGACCAATTAATGGTATCACATGACCAATGGATAAGAACATGTGACACATGAACGGTAGCACGTAACCAGAGATTGATAACTTGCGACCAATGAACAATAACATGTAACCAATGAACGATGACTCATGACCAATGAATGATAAAATGTAGTCAGTGAACGGTAACACGTTACCAGCGACTGCTTACACGTGACCAATGAATGATAAAATGTGGTCAATGAACAGTAACACGTTACTGTGACTGATAACACGTGACGAATGAATGATAAAATGTGGTCAATGAAAAGTAACACGTTACTGTGACTGATAACACGTCACAAATGAATGATAAAATGTGGTCAATGAACAGCAACACGTTACTGTGACTGATAACACGTCACAAATGACTGATACAATATGGTCAAGTAACAGTAACACGTTACTGTGACTGATAGCACGTGACAAATGAATGATAAAATGTGTTCAATGAACAGTAACACGTTACTGTGACTGATAACCCGTGACAAATGAATGATAAAATGTGGTAAATGAACATTAACACGTTACTGTGACTGATAACACGTGACAGATGAATGATAAAATGTGGTCAATGAACAGCAACACGTTACTGTGACTGATAACACGTGAAAAATGAATGATACAATATGGTCAAGGAACAGTACCACGTTACTGTGACTGATAACACGTGACGAATGAATGATAAAATGTGGTCAATGAACAGCAACACGTTACTGTGACTGATAACACGTGAAAAATGAATGATACAATATGGTCAAGGAACAGTACCACGTTACTGTGACTGATAACACGTGACGAATGAATGATAAAATGTGGTCAATGAACAGCAACACGTTACTGTGACTGATAACACGTCACAAATGAATGATACAATATGGTCAAGGAACAGTACCACGTTACTGTGACTGATAACACGTGACCAATGAATGATAAAATGTGGTCAATGAAGAGTAACACGTTACTGTGACTGATAACACGGGACAAATGAATGATAAAATGTGGTCAATGAACAGCAACACGTTACTGTGACTGATAACACGTCACAAATGAATGATAAAATGTGGTTAATGAACAGTAACACGTTACTGTGACTGATCACACGTGACAAATGAATGACAAAATTTGGTCAATGAACAGTAACACGTTACTGCGACTGATAACACGTGACAAATGAATGATAAGATGTGGTCAATGAACAGTAACACGTTACTGCGACTGATAACACGTGACAAATGAATGATAAAAGGTGGTCAATGAACAGTAACACGTTACTGTGACTGATAACACGTGACCAATGAATGATAAAAACCGATAAATTAATATGTGATCTATGAACGATAGCACGTGACCAATTGATAAGAACATGCTACCAATGAACGGTAATACGTGATAAACGAGGTAACATGTGTTAAAGAATGGAATACAGAACCAAAGAATTTCACATAGATATGCTACTGTGGAAACGAAGCAGTACTATATGTTCAGTGAGGGATTTACCGTAATGTTCAGTGATATTGGGCTTATGACCATAATCGTGTGAGCTATCGTTACCATTTATCATACAAACAATGCTATGTAAAGATTTGAATGAAAATAATGCTGCACATAACCGCTTAACCATGTAGGTCAAAAATAAAATATTATGAGCGACTGCAATGCTTTCCAGTGTGTGTTCAATACATTATAAAAAAGATTAGTTATGTTGTCTTTTTTATCCGTTTTGTGTGTTGTCCGTTATGATTGGATTTTTTTTTTAAATTGTCGTAGTTAGTAGTTAACGTATTTTTTTCAGTATTCTTATAATGAAGAAAAATCGCACTTTTTTTTAAAAAAAAACCACACACAATATAATACCAAAAGAGTTAGACATGTTAAGGATTGCGAATCATGTTTAATGTTTTGAAGTTTGAATTTGAGAATAATTATAAAAGACCATTGAGTTTAATATCTGAAAAAACACTGTTCCCGGCAATAGTGGTTAGACTTATAAGTGATTTTACACGTACCTCTCCATTTTTGCTCTTTTCTATACATATTACGGAACAGTTCAAAAATGGATTTTAATATTTGTTATTTATACATTTAGTACCAATATTAAGTCCTTAATTGTTCCCCTGGGATTAATTGTGTATGATTTATTTCGATACTTACTGATCCGATGAAGACAAGATGACCAACACGCAACCATTGAATTTTAACTGTGCAAGATTGTTATCGCCATAGGTTTCCCTATGGCTCATAAGTATGTATGCTTCATTTTAGGACTTTTCGGAAGAATATGATGGCCACAAAATAGAATAAAATTTCAACAGCTTCAATGTGTGGTATCGCCATTTTTCAGAAAGTCTAAAAGAGATTTTGTTCAAATTTCACAAGTAGATTACTCTTGATCCTTAGTTTTCAAGTTAAATTTTGATAATAGTGGCAAAGGGAGATGAATTCTAGTGGTATTTAAAATAAAATATAAACTTTATTTATTTTACAACAATTATGAAACAAGTTATTTCAACTTATAATAATCACTCCAGTTGGCCCAGATGTTAGCGCGCGGGGGGTTTTAGTGTGTGGAAGGACAATGGTGGCCAACAGGTAGACTTCTTAAATTTGGGCATTTAAATGCAATACTTTTCTTTTTCGTTGTGATAGAGAATTTACTCAATGTAATAATAACACAAAGCAAATCCATTTACCATATGACAAAAGTTTATTACAAACAGTTATACTTTCAGTATAAACACTGTACAAGCAGTGTCTTAAACAAAGCAAAACAAGTTTCCGGATAAACAAACGTTTGGTATATAAAACAATTTATCAGTAATCAAGCCGATTTTCGCAAGTTAATCCAAATATTAAAATGAACAGTTAATTTGCACATTGCGATATCCAGTTTATTCTCCAACCAAACACTACATGAAATGTTATAGATTATTTGAAAAACAATATATTCTCTCATACATATAAGCGAATCAATCAATATTTCAATTGAAAAATACCTATATGTCTATTCTTGATTAAATAATCTTTGCATTTTATAAAATCACCGTCAAATAATTTATCAGTACTGACGAGATGGCAAACAGCTTACAGAGTGCACTTATTTTCACCTATGGCAGGAACCCGTTATGTTGATTCAATTATTTTGAAGAATTTTAGCGAAGGTAAATAACCCTTGGATGAGACGATATACTTTTCTTTATGATAAAATACTTTCATTTTATTACATCATTTAGTTCTGAAATATATATTCAAGCAAAGGGCATGACGCCATAGCATGGTTAAGCAGTCCAATCAAAATACCATGACGTCATGACATTACGAGTACTCCGATTCACAAATGAAAGGATGACGTTCTCCACAATCCACGTCACCCCAGTTGTAGTTGTCGTTAGCGTACTGCAGTAATACACAGTTCTGGTGACCTCCTATGTTATTTGGTTGACCTAAATGCCAACTTGTGTAGTTGAACGGAACAGATTCTAAATCCGTAGTCCAAAGAAAATGACCCTCCGAGAATTCGTCTTGTCCACTTGTCCAGAATCCAAAGGCTCCTGTCTGTGTCAACGCTAGATAAAATATAATGAAAATGGATTCCTATTAAGAATTTGAACAGATTTGTCCAGCATATTTCATATACATTCTGCATTTTCATTAAAAGTCTTGGTATTTTTGTTTTTGGAGAATAAACAGTATACATGTACATACTAATAAGGGCCCAGCATATGAGATACAGTTTACTTTTAGTAAGCACGGTGCCGGTCTGTCCGTTCGCCTTTCTGATGTTTCGACTATCTATTTGTCAACACTTCCATTTACTGAGATTATCTCAGAATCAATCCAAAAGACAAATACTTTTTAAATTTGATTTGCTCATAGATTGTAAATGTGCAACTGAGATTTAAAAGATTCTAAGGTCAAGATCAAGGGCAATTTTTTTGAAAACAGATCATTGGTGTACGAAAAGGCAAATGGCGGGATAATTGCTGACCTAAGATATGGTTCAATTGATGACAATGTTTGAATGAAACGATAAAAATATGTTTGTACAGTAGAATTTGTCAAAGGAATTTGACAAAGACAAAGGAAATATATCATTACAGTTTTTGTATAATGGCATTATACAAAAACTGGCAGAGGGCATGGGGTGTACTAGGCTTAAACAGATGTTTCACACTAGGTGGTTGAGTTCCCATGGTAGTGTTCAGTTAGTTGTAGACAACTTTACAGATCTTGTTAGTGTCATTCTTGAGAACAAATCAGCTAAGGCTATATCTATGCACAAGCCCATCACTACATTCAAGTTTTTCTATGTGGCTCACTTTCTGGCAGATGTGCTGAAGCACCTTTCTCTCCTTTGTAAGGCATACCAGAGGTCTTCCATTGATTTCACTGAGGTAAACCCTCTCCTTCATTCTACTGTTGAGCTCCTTCAGGAGATTAGGGATAGGAAGTCTGGTGAGAATTTGGCCAGATTTCTCAAAATAGTGCCCTCTGAGCCAGTTGTAGATGATGCAGGGTTATTCACATTTGAGATTAGGGGTCATACTATCAACCTCTGGGATAGGTTCACGGAGGAGGGGATGCTTATTTGACCCAGCTCTCTGTTTGTCAGGTATGTCTGAGGAGGTTTTAGATGATGTTGTGACATACATTAGTAGGTGTTGTCTAGGGTCAGAGATGGAGCGTAGACAGGATGTGACAGGGTTTAGGGCATATGCCAAGGTTCAGGTGAGGTCGATTTTTCAGAGTATAGGAGATGTAGCTCAGTTGGCCATTAAGTGTAGGGATAGTTTTCCTCTGGTAGCTATGACTGCTGAACGGCTGTTGTATATCCCTGTATCAACAGTGGATTGTGAGAGAGGATTCAGTCGGCGTACTTGATAAAGACAGACATTAGGAACAGCCTAGGTCCCCGCAGTCTGGAGAACCTGTTCAGGATTGCTATCCATGATGGTGAGATTGACTTTGAAGCTGCATTCAAGAAGTGGGCTGCTGTCAAGCAGCGGCTCATCCTGATGCCAAGGTACTAAGAGAATCTTGTGAAATCTTGAAAGAGATGAACATTTGAACAGAAGTTTGTAATTACACACTGATATCCATGGATATTGTTTATTTCAATATTTATTTCATGTTAATCTATGATCTTGGTTTGTGATATCTGGTGATACAACATTAATGTGCCTCATTTCAAAATGTATTTAATATTTAATCTATGACCTATTACTATGACATATTTCTATTTCAGTGTAGGTACAATCATTTTTTATTCATAAATAATAGTAGCTAGATTATGTGCTTCAAAATAGTTGCTAATAGACAGAAAAAAATATTGCATTCTAATTTTATTGAAGATAACAGTAGCTATAGGTAATGTTAGTCTCTTGTAGTATTTGAAGTATGATAGAAACTTTGAATATTTTAAACTTCATCATATATATATGTATTTGTTTTGTTTGATGTATGATTGTTGTAACAATGAATAAATCATGTAATGATATAATAAGCAGTGTTTGTGTTTCTTTTTACCATAAGTTCAAGGATTACAATAAAAAAGGAAGGAACGAGAGTCTTGAGCCCCCGCGGTCGCGCTGATGGTGCTCAAATTTAAATTGGCGGAACTAATTCAGACCCAGAGCTAGCCCTGAATGCAGTTGCAAAACTCAAATACAGCACTTAAATTTCCAACTTTTTAATGTAAACTCTAATGTATGTTTTGCTATATTTCTACTATGAGCCAGATGCAGGTATAAACATGATCTAATTATACAACAACATGCAACAAGAAAAGTGAAAAAAACTAGGGCAAAATATTAATAAAATAAAAATTAACATGGAGACCCTTAAACTAGTAAACGGAGACAAGACCAAGTGTTTCGGAAGGGTAAGTGTCTTCTGCTTTTTTGACGACACTCGCCATATTAATCTTAGTCAAATGCAAGTAATGTCATAACCTCATAGCGAGAACTGGACTAGTGGAAACATAGAATGCACTTTAATGAACATAATCAAAATCGGCGACCATCATATCACACAAAAGAAAATAATCATAATCAAGCTATGTTATGGGGTTCTATTAATAGATTCTTTTGACTCGAAGCCTGTTTACCCGTGTCATTACGTATCCAATCAACGATGTAATGCTGCACCATGGCTGACGTTACAGACAATAGATGGCTTTGCGACCACCCTTTCTTGCACGTGCGAATGGCGTCTACATACGTCCTAGGTTCTACGTGAGCCGTATAGCAGTGTTTCTTGCTACCAATGGTCAGTTCTTTTCCGGTGCATGATACAGGTTTTCTGATTCCTAAAAGGGTATTACAAAAATGTAAATTATTACTAATAATTTCGGAAAAAACATTATGAATCGCCGTTTAAGCCAAAACTGTTACTATCAATGTAACACACATCCAGAATACTTTATTTCCAATTTTGTAAAACATGTTTTTCATTTAAATTAATATAACAATTGATTAAATAAGTATAATATATATATATACCAGGTGTATTACAAGGAACGTTGTATACCATTATGTCGTCTATATATGCCAAGCCACCTGCGGGTACCTTGAAAGTGAGCTGTAACATACCAAATCAAAACAGTTTAGCAAAATAATATTTCCTTTTTACTTTATACTAAAAATTAATACTTTCTCTTTTTATGCAGCAATCAAAAACTATATCATAAGGTTAAAATTTAATGGTTTCCGTTGCATATCAAATAGGTTTCACGAGAACGGAAAATGTTTTGTAATGTTATTGTCGTGAAATAAATCTGGTATTGAAAATGATATTTTAAGAAGCTATAACTACGAAAATATTACCGTTACAAAACGTTCAATAGTGTAATCTTTGGCGGTTTGATGACGTCAAGCCTGACAACAAGACTGTGCTATTTTGAATGGGTAGTCAACGCCATTCTGTCTTTTTCTAAAATTATCTGGTAATATTTGCTTCAAAATATGCTATCATTTGGGTAGGTGTGTAAATGTTTGAGTGGATGTAGAAAAGTTATTTCAAAACAACAACTATTCTACCGACGTTTGATCTGCATCTGATGAGAAAATATCCAACTTCGAGTAAAGTTTATAGAAAGTACCGTTGTGATTAATCAATACCACAGGTATTATCTTCACACATTGACATATATCCCTTTTGATATTTGTCGCAAAGTAAAAGAGTATCCGTTATATCAGATCGATAAAATTCAATATTTCAATGGCAATAATACAATTACGTATTCTGTTTCCGTCAATAATGCTTTATAACTTATAAATGACACAGAAACACAACTGTCATGTCGAGAGTATCGGGTGTTTTACTATTTTATTCCCGAATATTTTTAGTAAGGATGGGGTATGGTGTAGTGATACGAGCTGAGGATATGTCAAGGCAAGACGATTGGGTGTCATATGTCGTGAGGTCGAAGCCAAGACGGGGCACGAGTCACACAAATCGTCTTCCTTCTTTACTTGTGTTTCTATGTCATTTTTCAATTCATAATAACAATATATCATATACGGTAGTGTTTGTTGATCTGAAGGTTTACGATATGAACTACATGCATTGCAATTAGACAGCTAAGAAAAATGTAAAGGTCATTACATTGCTTCAGTACTTGCTCAAGACACTTTGATGACAAGTTACTCCAACCCTTCCTTCAAATGATCTCTAAACCCTAAACATGAACTAAATGTAGAAAACATTAAATTAACTTTAATTATCTAAAAATTACAATATGGATCACACTCGCCAATTAAACGCAATATGTGACGGCATAGCCACTGATGCAAATCCACAAATCTTTGAATTGATGATGTCGCCCCATGTATGGGTTTTCACTAGAAATGATGAGATATCAAGATTTCTTCTTTCGAGCTTTTTCACACAGTATGGTTATCTAACCTTGAACGGTTTGCTGAGGTACTCCGAGTCAGGCACGACTTCAACAAGGGTCCAGGTAGTGGGTGTATGGGGCGCTGTGGAGTGAATAGGGTAGCCAACACCACCATCCTCCTGGAGTATTCATAGAAAACAACTGAGCAACATAAAAAAGGACAGCCATCGTGAACCAATATGGAATAGGGTAAACAGATTCCGCAGGAGGGTAAGCGTTTTAATGAAATATACGTGGCTTCCGTCAATATCAAGGACTGTGAAATGTCTTCAGTATAGATTGAAACTTTGTTTCAATCCCGATAAAGTCATTGGTTGTATTACAGGAAAATTTAAAATATACTGGTAAAGGATCAGGATTGTAGCTAAAAGCAAATCAGTCGTGACATGCATATGTCCACTAAAAGGGAATGTTCGAATGCTATTACTGAGAAAAGGAAAACTAGTGATCGTAATATCCTCACCGTAATGTAAACTGTAAACTGTGTTGTTGGGTATTGTGCCCTGAGGTAGAATCTTATACAGTATGCAGGTGCCCTGTCAAAAATTCGGGAGGTCAGCTTTTTTGAATAACTGGAGTAACTATAGACCATATGTCCATCTGAAAAATATGAATTTATATCATTAATAAAACCTGTTTTAAAATTGATGTAAAATAAAAAGAGGATTAAAAAAAGTCTACTCAACTAACGATAATTTTTTGTAAGATTAATAAAGTTTTCGATTGTTAACTTTTTCTTATTTTGATACTGTTAAGTTGTTCTTAGCCTCTTCTTTATTGTTATAAATTGCATTAAAGAAGTTCGACCGACATTCATAAGCGGTTATGTTTACCTTTAACCCCCATGTACGTGTGGTCACTGATAGCAGCTGTGGCAGCAAGTGTTTTCCAGGGATACCCACCGTCGGCTTCGTTTGTATAGTTACACATGTGTAAATCTTCAAAATCACAGTACGTCAGATTGAACCGGGTGTTGGTGTCTGTCAGAAACGAATCAAACAAAACTATAAACACTATATGCAATCAGAAAAAAATAACCAAATTACTGAAGCAGGTATCGGTAACATTTTGTATTAAGGTCATTATAACATATATTCTATGTGTTATATAATGTATAACATACATTCTATGTGTTATATAATGTATAACATACATTCTATGTGTTATATGATGTAGAACATACATTCTATGTGTTATATAATGCATAACATACATTATATGTGTTATATAATGTATAACATACATTCTTTGTGTGATATAATGTATAACATACACTCTATGTGTTATATAATGTATAACATACATTCTTTGTGTGATATAATGTATAACATACACTCTATGTGTTATATAATGTATAACATACACTCTATGTGTTATATAATGTATAACATACACTCTATGTGTTATATAATGTATAACATACATTCTATGTATTATATAATGTATAACATACATTCTATGTATTATATAATGAGAATAGCACAAGCGCTTGTATGATTACATTAACGAATTTTGACGAAATCTTTAATCTTTCTAGGTGTTCACATTTTAGTTTCATCAATTGGGCCAGAGAGGATCCAAATTCTCTTTTATACAGTATTGAGTTTTCTTGTTTCAATTGTGCTCTACATATTTTGGTTGAAATATCCTTATCCTTTCTGAACGAGTAGAATTTTTGAAATGTGCCTGTATATGCAAAGTTGTAAACGGTTCTTCTCCGCCTGTTTCAACAGTAAAAATCTTAGAAGATAGAAACAGCTGTATTGTGAATGCATGTTTTGGTCAAAGTATATCAAATGCTTGAAATCACGTGATCTCTAATGATTCAATCCACGGAGAAATGGCGGGGAAAAGAGTCACATTTTAAAGAAAAACCGACACATTCTTTTCTTTCATGTAGGGACATTTAACCTATCCTATATTAAACAAAATGATTTGGTTGGAAAAGGGTTGAACCATTAGAAGCCACTTGATTCCCCTTATTGGTATTCATTATCAGTTTTTAAATGTTCAATCCATTTTGTGTGACTTAGGTTCATCTATCTATAGGGTCACGCTATTCAGCATGACGGGTGACACCATTTCAGATAACATATCTATATGAATATGATGACGAAGGCTTCAAGTATCTATATCCATAGCAATCTGTCATAATTAAGTTATAATTGTAACTAGAACCGTTTCAGAAGTTCCAAAAACTGTCGCCGTGGTGGTAAAGGATGCATGAGAAAAAAATGCTTAAATACATTAAAATACTGCGGGACAACTTATTTTGTAGATAGGTTAGGAATCACATCAGTACTTATGACTGGGATAACCAAAAAGTATTGGACATAGAGAATAATCTTTTCAAGCGGAAGATGAAGGAAGCCATCTGGATACACTATGTTGGGCTATCTGAGTCGAGATGAGGGGGCTTATCGACTCTCACACATTTATAAACAGGATTAAAACAAAGCGTAGGCGAAACTGATTCATCATTTCGTACATGCATAATAACTAAGTGTACATATGCTTATAGCGTATCCGAATCGACATCGATATGATATTGCGAATTCGTATATATTTTACAACTTTGCGTGCATACGCTTTATGGTCATTTGTCTGATGCAGGTGACAGGTTACGCATCATGCTTGTCACAAAAACGTCACACACTAACTTGTTATGATGCATGTCTACAACTCATACTAACCAACCCGATTAACATGTTTAGAAACTGAGCGACAGCGTTTTTAAATTTATTCTAAGAACATGTTTAGAAACAACTATTGTAAATGTATTGCATTATACAGTTACGCCAAATACATACCAACGTTAGGGTCCGGTTCTAAGCAGGCACTCGATATGGTTGCATCAAGTTGGGCTTTCAATGTCTTCATCTGTGCCTCTAGAGTGTGTAAGGTGTTAGAAATGGTCGTGTAAGTGCTGGAAAAAACATACATATCCAAACAACCCTGCTTGCTTGTCGTTCCCATAGAAACCACAGCGGCTAATAAAGCCAATTTGATCGAAAAGGAAGCCATCGTCATACTTTAATGGCCACGCAACACTGAGACAACGCTATCGTAGGTGTAGCTTATATACATGTAGGTACGAGGATTCCTTAAGTGTTAAAAACAGAGGAATGCCTTATCTATCAGCTGATTCTGAAGTGCAGGTCAACACTGCAGTGCACGTATCCGTGCACGTATCCACTAACCTATCACGAAATCTGTGTTCACTATGCATACACTGTTTCCTAAGGGAGTAGCCATTACTTGAAGTGACCTCATCACGTAGATGGTCGTCTGCGATAGTACAAAATTGTATGTTTAAGCTTTCAAACCCCAGCGTTTCAATTCTACTCTAGCTGCATGTAAACCAAATGTGTCACTGTTTTGTTAATCGCTGTTGGTGCGAGAGTCAATAACATATTTCCAATGTCGGCATGCCAAGACAAACTACATTTTCTACAGCAACCACTTTAGGTTTCCTCACTCCTGATTCATTGGATAAACCTGCTGGATTGATAAACAATTTTGGTTAACCACTAGTTTGCAGGTGTTATACACTGTACCTGATGTCAGTGGTTAACCTTTTAATGATGATGGCATATAACAGTGCTTTGTGGCGTCATCTTCCATTGTGACATCATGATTCATTGATATTGTTCCCCATCAGAAACATACATTATGTATTGCTAATGGAAACATGTGGTTTTCTTAAAGAAATATGAACGGTGTGGGAGAAAAGATCACTTAAGTCGTGATGATTGATATCATGTTTATCTAACTCTCATTAGTTTGTTTTTTTCAAATTATAAAAGATACAGTATATATTGATCTCAAATAGGTCAATATTGACTAAAAAATCAACAAATCTTATTGGTCAATATTCTATTTATTGATCTCACCTATGAACGTGTGTATGTTGTTACAGGCGCAGTCGCCCCACTCGTAGTTATTGTCGGCGTACTGCATTAGGAGACAATCCTGGTCACTACCGACGTTGTTAGGCTGGCCGGGATGCCAGTCTGTGTACGTCACGGGGAGGTGGGCGCCCTGGTCAGTCCATTCGAAACGGCCTTCTACTCGTTCGTCGTTGCCACACGTGTAAAAGCCATTCTGGCCAACAGACTTCAGGCCTGGTGTTATTTGAACATTAAATACTGATATATGGGATCTATCTTATGTAAGCAGGTTCGGTGATAGGAAAAGGGAAATTATGTAATACTTTTCTTAAATAATGCATAAAAAGTACAACTTTTTGCGGGATGAAGACAGAGAAATCGCAACTGTGGGTAAGATTTATAGAAAAAGATAGAACGAGGCTTTGCCAAGTGTTACGAGTTTTAATATTTTTACAGCAAAGAAAAACAACTCAAAAATAGACAAATAGAACAGTATACTGCTAATTTTAACGTTATCCTTTTAATTTTGTTTTGCGTCGAAAGAAAATTAACCACCGTGCCATTTTTTCCCAACAGGACCAGAATAATGCTTTGCCTAAAAACTTACCTTGATCTGCGTTGATAAGGGTAATGAGGTACGTCTTTTCCTCGGCACTGTTGATGTGCCTTTCCGTCTTCTTCTTTACATGCTTTTTCGGCGGCTGGAATCACGTGCACCATGTAGCAATCATTGGTTGATGAATTAGAACCGCCATGGTAAAGTTGGGATCCAGCAGGACAACTTGACATGTTTTAAACAAGAAATATGACCTTCCTGGTATTTTTCAAATTATGCAAAAAATATTCAGAATTAAATTTAACATTTGGTACCTGCACCATCTTCTGCAAACAGGCATCGTTATTTGTACGAAGTGACGTCATAGCTGCGTCACTTGGCAATTTACAAATTAAAATGCAGGAGATATATTCAATGACGGCATAACTAGAATTATAACTGTCGTGTTGCCACATTGTGCTGCAAAACTTACGTTCCATTACAGTTATTTCGATTGAGAGAGTTGTAAGAATACACGTCCTTACTACGTCATCTAAATTATGATACCGGAGTGGTATTTAAATAGCGAATACTTTGTCACCTGCCATTCTATCGACCGGAAGTGTTGTTAATCTACGTGTCATTACTGCGCCACTAACCCTTATGTCGACACATGGACACGTCGGAAATACGCAAGTTACAATAATAACGACATGAAGTAATGTTTATCGTTATGACAACAAGAAGTGTTGTATAATACATGCGTTACTACATCACTTACCGTTTTGACAACAGGAAGTTTTTAAGAAATACGTTATAACTACTCCATTTACCGTTACAATGAAACGGAGTGTTGCAGATGTTTACGATACGTAATGATAAAATCACGTATCGTTATATTGACCGAAAGTGATAGAAATATACATCATAACTACATCACTTACTGATATGACGACGGGAGTATTGTTGATAAATACGCCCTTACTCTGTAACTTACTGTAATGTTGACTGGAAGCATTCGATATGCAAACGTTACACTTACATTCCTAACGGCTGTGTAAAACGGAAGTGATAGATGTTAACAAAATCATAACTACGTCACTCACCGGTATGACGATGGGAAGTGTTGTGTTTATACAAGTTATAACTTCGTTTTATACCGTACATTATGTTAACCAGAAGTGATAGAAGATTGCATAGTCTTACTACGTCACTTCCCGTTACGTGGACCGGAAATATTGTACAAATAAACGTTCTAAATACAGTCACTCAACATTGTGATGATAGGAAGTGTTGTAAATGTACACGTCATCGATAGCGATATCTCCTTTTTCCTCCGGTATAAGCTGTATATGAGTGACTACTTCAGTAGTTGGATGATTTTTGCGCATGCGTAGTTGCCTCAGACATAAACTGTATACACGTTTCTGTTATCGATAATATTAACAAGTCGTCAAATTCTTCTTGTTCATAACCACCCTGCCACTTTTGACATATTATATTTCCTTATATATGTGGTGTTTCAGTTTTAGAGATACTGCAAGGTACAATGTATATAACAAAATGTACACAACTCGACAACTTAATAACGTAGAAAATGCGATATCAAAAAGAAGTAGAAATGTCAAACGCGTATCTTTATTGAAAATACGACGCTTTGACAACAGCATCCCGACAACCACATTAAGAAGAGAATGCGAATTCGATTAGATAAAATAAAGAGGCTGATGTATCAAAAATTGTCGAGACTGAGACGTATCGACAGTTAAATAAACATAAAAACAAACCATCATTCGTCGGGAACATCTATAACCTAAATATTATTTTAATTTACCTACAACAAAATTTGCCTTTAAATTTGCTTCGTTAATTTTATTAGTTTTGCTACTGTTACATGCTTAATTACTTCACTCTCCATGATTGAAATAATTAATTGATATTTTGAATTATATTTGGTGTCAAAACATGTTTGTGTTCTGTTAATTGTCAACTTAAACACATTTCAAAACATAGATACGACAAAAATATGTATGATAAGGCTCAGGTGGTGTAGTGACGACGCCATGTATTCAAGCATTTCCGTTACAAAACAAGCTGAAAGCGGAAAAGTTGGACCGACAATTATTATTTGTTATGTTTACCTTTAGCCCCCATGTACGCATGGTCATTGATAGCAGATATAGCAGCAAGTATTCCCCATGGATACCAACTGTCGACTCCGTTGGTATAGTAAAACATGTATGAATCTTCAAAGTCGCAGTACGTCAAATTGAATCGGGTGTGGGTGTCTGTCAGTAGAAAATTAAAAAAAAACTATCAGCAATATCTTTACTCAGATAACGTTATCATCGTTGTGTTTTTGAAAGAAGAAATATCTGTATTGCACATGTAATAATGTAGAGCTAACATAATACATACCGACGTTAGGGTCCGGTCCTAAACAAGCACTCTGTATAGTTTCATCAAACTGGGCTTTCAAAGTCTTCACCTGTGACTCTAGAGTGTGTATGGTGTTAGAAATGGTCGTGTAAGTGCTGGAAAAAACATACACATCCAAACAACCCTGCTTGCTTGTCGTTCCCGTAAACCACAGTGGCTAATAAAGCTAACTTGATCGAAAAGGAAGCCATCGATATGCTGTAATGGCCACGCAACACTGAGACAACGCTATCGTAGGTGTAGCTTATATAGGCACGGGGATGCCTAAAGTGTTAAAAAACAGAGGAATGCCTTATCTATCATCTGATTCTGAAGTGCAAGTCAACACTGCATTGCACGTATCCACTAACCTATCATGAAATCTGTCCTCACTATGCATACATTGTTTCCTAAGGGTGTAGCCATTACTTGAAGTGACCTGATCACGGAGATGGTCGTCTGCGCTCATCAGTTGTCACATTAGAGTTCTCTCTAATTAACAACAGTGTATATTTGCTACTTGAAAGACAGAAATCTTCATGGTTATTTAATTATCGATCTTTCTTTATTGATCTCATTTAATTAACGAATATTAGGACATGCGTATTCACTGTAGACAACGAAACAAGATAAAACATGAACTTCTTTATTTTAGAGTACGCGCGCCATTGCTATACCAAACATAAAATAACTAATCTTTAACTAGTTACAGATGTTGCGATAGTACAAAATTGTATGTTTAAGTTTTCAAACCCCAGCGTTTCAATTCTACTCTAGCTGTAAGAAAACCAAATGTGTCACTGTTTTGTTAATCGCTGTCGGTGCGAGAGTCAAGAACATATTTACAATGCCGACATGCCGAGACAAACTACATTTTCTCCAGCAACCACTTTAGGTTTCCTCACTCCTGATTCATTGGATACACCTGCTGGATTGGTAAACACTTTTGGTTAACCACTAGTTTGCACGTGTAATACACTGTACCTGATGTCAGTGGATAGCCTTTTACTGATGATGTCACATAACAGCGCTTTGTGGCGTCATCTTCCATTGTGACATCATGATTCATGGATATTGTTCCCCATCAGAAAAATACATTATGTATTGCCAATTGAAACATGTGGTTTTCTTAAAGAAATATGAACGTTGTGGGAGAAAAGATCTCGAAACTCGTGATGATTGATTATCATGTTTATCTAACTCTCTTTAGTTAATTTTCAAATTATAAAAGACCTTCGGTAAACCTCGTGTTTTAAACAATTGGATATTATTTAACTCGAGTTAGATAAACATTATAACAAACCATCATTCGTCGGGAACATCTATATCCTGAGTATAATTTTGATTCACTTTCAGCAAAATTTGGCTTTAAATTTGCTTTGTTATTTCATTAGCTTTAATCTTAATTTCTTGGGTCATTAATATTTTTGTTGATTTTTCGTTGGAGAAAGTTTTTCTCGTTTCAAGAAAATTATATTTAATAAACACATTTTAAAAACTTTTTTTTTTGAATGGAA